CTTCAGTAAATTATATCATCTCATGATGTATCCAAAATACAGTAGCATAGGTTTAATCAAGTCATCATTAACCAACAATAAATCTCTACTTTCATGTTGAATAAATGAAAAGGAGAACAATTTTTTGTTTGTTTTCGAAGAAGTTTAAGCATCTTCTAGAGAAAGCTCAACCCTCAAGTGGTCACTAGAGGGCCTTCTAACATAGTCTTTTCACTGCCCTGCGCACAATGCATAAAAAGTAGGATTCTTGCCTCTGTTTTTAATTTAAAGTGATATTTTTAAAATTGCCTTTATATGTACCAGGAATGCTAGATTTACTCAAGCTATAAATTACTTTAAACATTTTTTTCCTTTTCATGAAATCACAGTTCAAAGTTCTGAGAGAAATTTTGAACTGTGCAGAAATCCAACTTAGCCCCATTTCTATTGAGATGCTGATGGCTGTATTTTATGTGGTGCAGCAGGTACGTCCATGGACTATGCATTTGATTATATGACCACTACGATATAGCATTGCTTGTAATAGTCCTACATTAATCTTAGTGCTGCAGTATTTTTGGCTGAAGACAAAACAATATTGAAATAAGAGAAAAACCCTTCATAATACATTAAAGGAAACATTTTAATAACTTACTAAAACACTTCGTAAAATGACATGTCCCTCCACCCTTGCTATTACAGTCGGCATAGTAAAAAAAATTATTATTCCATGGCTTTCATATCTTTGAACAATTCTTTTCTCTAATGGTTTGGTTACAGGGAAAAGCTCTTCAGCAACAGCTATTACGTTCTTTATGAAACAAAACTCGCTGTCCCTATATTATCCCAAGTTCTCCTTATTATAAAACATGAACATTAAGCTGGAATGTCATTCTTAATAAATAGGAGTGAGTCATTACCATGTGGTTGTGATTCTTAACAGAATTTTAATCTCTGTGAAAAATGAACTTTATGCAAATGACATATTTTAATTTAAAAAGCATGCTGTTAAAACAATCCATTTTCTGAAGGTTCTCACAACTACATTTCTGCAAAATAATATTTTGCACTTAAGAGATACTTATGACAAAATAAATTAATGTTCTAGGATTCTATTATTAGAAGTTAAAGAAAAATATTAATTTTAAATAGATCTTACAGTAAAATGTTACAGTAAAATAGTTGTGCTTTGCCATGAATACAAAATGTTGTTTTTTTCTGAAAATTCAGCAAATATTTGTTGTCTTGGTTTATGAATCTATTTTGCAAGCACTGCAGAAACAAGATTCATGGGTATATCTTTATGCATTGAACATTTAATCTGAAAGGTCGCAGTTTCAAATCTGGGGAGCAGCATGAGCTTCTGCTGTCAGCCCCTGCTTCTGTCAACCTAGCAGTTCGAAAGCATGCAAATGCGAGTAGATCAATAGGTACCGCCTTGGAGGGAAGATAATGGCGCTCCAGGAAGTCATCCTGGCCACGTGACCTTGAAGGTGTCTATGGACAGCGCTAGCTCTTTGGCTTAGAAATGGAGATGAGCACCAACCCCCAGAGTCAGACACAACTGGACTTAATGTCAGGGGAAAACCTTTACCTTTACCTAGATCATTATGTGGCATATAGTTAACTGTAGCATTATCTATAATCATATTTCTTTTGTCTGCAGATGTTAAAAATAAGAATTTGAGTGTTTTTCAAGGGTTGCACTTTGATTTGCAAGATGCTGGCCCTAAATAAACATAAAGTTAATATAATCGTGCAGTTAAGTCTGATTGTAGTCTTGAACAGTTTGCCTACAAAAGCCCAATAAAACTCATTTGCTGTGAACAAATATGCATAAGATCACTCTATTAATCTCTATGACAGCCTGTCCCAACCTTAGATCCTCAGGTAATATTGACTCCACCTTTCATTATCATTAGCTATAATGGCTAGAGATGATAAAAGTGAAAGCCCAAAGATCTATGATAATCCAGAGTTCAGAAACTGTTACTATTTCGGGCCACTGGTTGTTGTTTGATGGTTGTTTTTAATATTGTTATGTGATTGTTTGTTTTATACTGTTTTATGATGCTGTTTTATGATTTTGTGTGTGTGTTATATTTTAACTATGTTGATCAGACTTGTCCCCATGTAAGCCGCCCCAAGTCTCCCTTCAGGGAGATGGAGGCGGGATACAAAAACAAAAGTTGTTGTTGTTGTTGTTGTTGTTGTGCTGTTCCAGTATCCTATACTATTGCATCTTTAGGTTGTCCTCTATAAGCAAATATAAAGCAATATTTTGCTTTTTATTTGCTTATAGAGGACAACCTTGCTAGTTCAGCCAAATATTGCAACCTCCTAGTTCCTCACTTTCCAAATACGTTTCCGGCTCTCCTTCTTTATTAATCTTAGTTGCCTTCACCCAGCAATATTGAACCCTGCCAGCCTTATCTACTTAGAGTCTCTTGTGCTACAGAGGGTTATTTGAACATGAAGGTTGCTGACCTTTGCTGGTGCTCTTTTCACCCAGCTTGGAGCTGAAGAGGGTATAGAGATGGGTATGTAAATAGTAGAACTGCTAGCTGCTTTCAGACTTTGCAGCTTATTTCTTAGAGATGCTAGGCTGGCTTCCTTCTTACAGGCCTTAAACCATTCACACACACACACACACACCCTTCCCCTCCAAAAATACCCCAACAGACTTTAGGGAAATGATTGTTTTAAAAGAGGTTTTTCCCCCACGTGCTTTACTCTTTTTATTTGTTAATTTTTAAATCATTTCAGTTCTATGGACCATTCAATCTTATTATAATTTTAATACTTTGTTTTTAGCTACATGTTTTTATCTATCTAGCTAGGTAGGCTCTCCACTTTGAGGAAAAGGTGGGGCATACATAAAGTAATAGATATGTAGATAGAGCAATCCCACAATTGCAATGCACGTAGAGTAAGGAACGCCACTGTGGTAAGCATGATGATATTACTTGGAATAACAGGCTATGAAATCAGTGAGGCTTCTTATGATGTGTGCTTAGGATCCAGCTGTCAGGCTGGTTTTTCCCAAATAAAATAATATTTGTTGGGTTGAGAACAATGACTTAAAAACTGTCCAGATGTCGTTTATGGGCTGCAATATCTATTTGCCAAGTGACAAAGACTTTTTGTGGTGTTTGGAAATGTTTTTGTGGGTGCTGTGCAGGCAGTCACTGCCTGCAGACCACCTTCATGTGACAGCAATTTCTGTTTTCTTTCAATTTTTTTCCATATTAATTTCTCAGTGATGTACACATTGTATCCTATTAAGCTGTTTATCCAAACTGTGTTAATTAAGTTTGAATGGAGAATTCACTGTGCATCTAGTTTCTGTATCCCTTGACAAACCTTTAGCCCATTGCCTAAGATTTTCCAGCCTGCTTATACTTGCAAGAAAGGATTTAGGAGCAGGCTTTGGTTTATGTAGTATATTTTTTTTCCAGATGAAAAATCAAAGCATTATTTACAATATTTTTTAAGAACAGAGAGCACTTTCTGGATGGGGGAAGAGAAGGAATAAAAAAGAAGACTGTTTAGGAACCAAACTTCTAAACTGTTTCTAGTTATGAATAATTTTTGGACACGTCATTGGCGAGAAATTAACTTTGTGGTGACTCCATCACGTTCTTTTCCCACTTGAATGTTGTTCTGGTTGTCTGCGTACTTTTCTGTGCTTTTTGGCAAATGTGGTGTGACACTGGTTTGCTTCAAAACTGTATTCGCTCAAAAGGCAGCAAAGTTGGATTGCCATGTGCCATACTTTGGTCTTTCTTGACTGTGATAACAGATGTCAACAAAGGAAATAACCAAAGTATCAAGGATGTGAGGTTTAGAACAGGGCAACGTGCATTCATCCAAATGTTCCTGAATTGTAACTCTCAAACTTCTTGCCCGTGTTGGCTTGGACTGAAAGGAGTTGTTGTATAACAATAGTTGCAGGTCTGTTTTATGCCTAACCCTGGCAATGGCAAGGAAGTACTCCTATCTCCTTGCTTCTGTCAGGGTTAGGCATAAAACAGGCCTGCAAAGCATGAATGTCTGCATTGCCTATTTTGCCCCTTTATGTTCTCAAAGAAAGATGGAATTGAGAGATGAAGAAGATATATATTGGACAATTGAGTTGGGTCTAGGATCCAATCCTCACCCAGCCCCCAAGTGTGATATACCTCCCCCCACCAAGCAAGCCCAAAACCTTCCTTCGTACTCCTATTTTGAAAGAGATTTCAGAGGACATTAGAGGTATTTGGAATACTCTGGGGTTCTAGTGTCCTTGTTGTGGTGAGCTGGGTGTTTTCATGCCTCTGGGGAGCTTTCTGTGTAGTTTTGGGGCAAAAAGTGCCTACACATGATACTGAAATGAGGACGGGGAGGAGGGGTCTTGTGAAGACTTGTGGGTTTGTAGAAATGGAATCCATGGCAATTGATACATGGAGGCTGCTACGGGAAGATAGAGCAATTCAAATAACCCAGAACCAAGACATATGCACAATTTCTTTCTAAGCTACCGATTCCAAAGTATCTTAATATTCATATTGTATGCTTTTCCCTGTGTATGGAATTTGCACCTTTTTGAAATACTTTACCTTTCTTTCCTTGTTTTCCTACTTTGATTAAAGAAATCAGTTTAGCTTGGAAGGCGTGAATTAGTTAATGAATTCCTTTTGAAATACGTAGTTGGATTGGTCACTCAATATTTGAACAGTATCAATCTAAGGATTGAATCCTAGAATCACAGAGTTGGAAGAGACCATAAGAGTAAAAACTATCAAAGCACTCTTTTTTTTCTCTCTCGTCACTATTATCAGCCGAAAAAGGTAAAAAAAGGTGTTAACCCAAACAGTGAAGCACTACTGCAAGTAAATTTAGATCAGATTTACTTTTGAAAAAGAGTTTCAAATTTTTTAAAGTGGTGTTCTGCTAATTTACAACATTGTTATTTCTAAACATTAACACAAAATTATTTTATTTGTTAACCATGTTGGTTTCTCCTTCTGTCTCTTGTTCAGGATATCGTACCAGTGGATGCCTCTTATGAGGTTAAAGAGCTATATGTGCCTGAAAACAAACTAAAGTTGGCAAAAACAGATGCAGAGACTTTACCAGCATTGGAAATAAATAAGGTAATTAAGACATAAAAGAGAGTCCACAGAAAAGCTCTACTTTGTTTGCCCACACATAGTCTACTTCGCTTAACCATTTGCAGTGTATTTGAAGGCTCAGAATCTGTGGTTGCCCATCTGAGAAGTTCAGATTGAATAGCTACAAACCAGAGGCAGCAAACAATTGTCTTCTCAATTTAGGTTTAGTATATTATTTGTCGTCGTCCCCCATCCCACCCCCTTTGTCCAGTCCATCTGGCACTTTTCTCCAGTTTCTTCCCTGCAGTATCTTTATTGCGTTTTGGTAGCTGATACTCTATTTTTATCTTGTTTGTTTATGATGCACTCTATGTTTTATGCATGTTCCTTTTCCACTTTGGTTTGCTTTTATTTCCTGCCGTTCTACAGATTTATGTGTTTTCGTGCACAGATTAATGCTTTCACTTCTCTTGATTAATTTTCCTTTCTGTAGTCCTGAATTTGAGTGTAGCTCTCTACTGTTTAATCAGTTGTGTATGTTTTTATGTCTCTCAATTGAGTAGTTAGTATCTAATGAATATAGGACTACATTTCAAATTTTAATTATTTGGGAACACTACTTTCAGAACCCCTGGCCAATCTCACCATTGGCTATGCTGGCTGAATAATTGTGATAGTTATAGTTCAAAGCTAATATTCAGTATTTCACTGAATATGTGATTTTTTTTTTTAAAAAAAAAGCTTGTTCCTGCTTAGGTTGTTTTTTCTTCATCTTTGCAATCTTTTCCTCCAATGACAAAAAACCTACACAGTATCCTATATGTGTGTTGTTTTGGATAGTCCCTTAAGTGATTACATTATTATAATAGTTGTGTTGTTGCTGAATCTCTCTCATATCTTAGTTCTGTTCAGAAAGGTAGTATTTTCTAAATCATTAGCCCATATTTCAGATATTTAGGATTCAATTTTTTATCAGTTCCACATTGCACATTATCAGTAGTGAAGGATCCTGGGAGTTGCCTGAAACAAGCTGAAAAATGAAAATGGAAAATCCCTGAGTAATAATTATTACAGTTGTTCCACCACATTTGCAAATGTTACCTATTCAGATTTGATTAAAATGGTTTCTCTAGGAATTTCTAGATCCTCCAATATGTTCCTATGGTCAATGTCCTTCAGTCATGCTGGAGGACCTAGAGATTTCTAGAGAGAACACTTCTCTAATAATCTCTAAGCTCTCCAGTTCAATTTTGTGTTCAACGTCCAGTGGAAGTTGACCATAGAGCCATGCTATAGAAGACCTTGACATTCCTAGAGAGATGTTCTCTCAGGTTAGAAACACAAGCCATTTCATTATTAATGGTTTTTCACTTTCATGGGGATCCTATGCCCCTAACCTCAGTAAATGTGGAGGCTGTAATTGGTTACTACAAAACCCAGCAAGTCAGTATTATTGTAATAATGATGTTGAATCTTCAAAGATAGGATGTTGCTTGTCTCTATAAATTGAATGTGAAACTTACAAATTGGGTTTCTCCGGGTAAATAATTTGGAAGTCATTAATTATCTCAATGCAGTCCTTAGTTAGTTCATACAAACTGTTGGATGAAATAACAACAACAACAACAACAACAATAAACAACTCTATTTATATTCTGCCCTATCTTCCCAAAGGGGGCTCAGGACGGATTCCAACATACAATGCCAAACATTCAATGCCTCAATAAACAGATATCAACATAATAATCCCAGAGGAACCCCACATATCAAAACAGCATAAGAGCTAATATCAATAAATTAAACCCAACATAATCAAACAAAGAATATGTAATGGCATAAAATCTAAACTTAAAAACATTCACCTTGATTTATAGAAGCCAACTATTCTTCACCAAGTTGTGCGGGTTGGTTGTGTAGCCAGTGATGGTAACTGGGCTATCATAAACTAGATTGAGTCTAGATACTAAATGGTACTTTACCAGGAATCTGGCAGTGGTCTCTCGTTGTCTAATCCTCATTTATCATGTTGTTATGACCGTAGTATATCTTGGCTTGAATAGGATGAAAGGGAAGTAGGGCACTGACATTGGTAGTCACAATTTTTTATATAATTTTGACCAGTACCTTTGTATGTGGGATTACTAGTGATATAAAATCTGAAAGGAGCTCTGATTTTATTGATTTGCTACTACTTTATGCCAATACATGCATTTTTCCTGAGATGAAATGACACTATTTATGGCACTATTTAGAGTTCTACAAAGTTCTGGCTTGGAAGATCTAGCATGGCATTATGGTTTGAGTGTTGGAGTAGGTTACCAGTACATTGGTAACCTACTCTGCTTGGGCATGGAAACCCACTGAATGACCTTGAACAAGTTATACTCTTCCAAACTCAGCTGGAGGCAAGGTGAAACCTCCTTTGAAGAAATTATGCCAAGGAAACAATGTGGTAGATTATTCTTAGGATTACATGACTTGAAGGCACACAACAACAACAACAACAACAACAACAACAACAACAACAACATGATGTTTCACCACATCACATTGCTTAACACTTCCTGAAGGTGCTAGAAGTTCTAATACACCTAGTTGTGTGGCCTTCCACCACATCACAATTCAGAGGATATGTGTCTTCTTTTTGGCAGTGGCAGAAGGAACTGATCTAACACTAATAACATTTTTGATTGTAGGTGGATATGCAGTGGGTGCAAGTTTTGGCAGAAGGTTGGGCAACACCACTTAATGGCTTTATGAGAGAGAGAGAATACTTGCAGTGCCTTCATTTTGACTGTCTCCTCGATGGTGAGATATAACCAAGTCTCCTTCTAATGGACATGCTGGTAGGCTGTGAATAATCATTTCACTGCATCTTAAACAACAATCCAACACCCAAAGAAAGATAATAAATCTGTATAGATTCTGGCTTTTGCTCTTGCTTCTATATTTCAGTTCCATTTGTCACTTGCCCAATAGCTATGGAATGCTCTCCCTATGCAGCTTCCAAACAGTGTCTTTGCTTCCTCTTTTTCTCTGTTCTGCCCAGAGAAAGTCACAACTAGATGCCATTACTAAAATAAAAACAAATGGGAAAGGAACTTGAATGAAAACCAGAGGTCATAGTAACCTTCACAAAGAAAGAATTGACATGTCAGATGTGTAGATCACTATCTGCATCTGCAAAACATTTACTCCCTCAATATTTAAATATTTGTTTCTTTACTGGAAACAAAAAGAGTACTGGGAATGCCAGGTAACAATATCTGCTAGTGCATACTTTAAATCAGCTGAAATTTGGAGTCGTTGGAGCTTTAAGTGATAAATGCATAGCTTGACTTTATGATGGAGTTAATATAGCAGGCTATGTAATTATAGAACTCTGGAACACTGTGCCAAACGCTTAGTGTTAAATTTACATAGCTAACTTTGTGTAGAAAAGGAACAATGGTATGAAAGATTCATTTGCAATATGGTTAGTTTTCCAACACAGGAAAGCTTGTCTGTTACTTGCTCCCTCTTGTTGTCATTTGTGCTCCATATCTTTATATGGTGAGGAGAACAGCAAGAATGGCTGGAGCATGTCTACTTTAAAAAGACATCCAACAAGGAATCTATTCTCTGTTGGATGAGGGTATTCTCTAAAAGTATTAGGATTTTGAACAGATTTTCCTTCAATTCATTTGAACCTAGTACCAATTTTATGAAACCTATTACAATTATATCTCCTGTTACTGTTTTTCCATTTTAGGGGGAATTATTAACCTATCAGTGCCTATAGTGCTAACCGCCACAAAGGAAGACAAAGAGAGACTAGATGGTTGCACAGCTTTTGCTTTGGTATATGAAGGTCGCCGTGTGGCTATTCTCCGCAATCCAGAGTTCTATGAGCACCGGAAAGAAGAGCGTTGTGCCAGACAGTGGGGGACAACATGCAAGGAGCACCCTTATATCAAGGTACCAGTTGTCAGAGACACAAAGGCACTGTTGCATTCATTTATTTGTTGTGGGTTTTCTGTAGCATCTGGTTAGTGTACAGAAACAATGTGTTGATAGAATACTGGACCAGATAGCTTTTGACTTGATTTATTACAGCTCTTGCATAACTATGACAACTTTTGAAGTTTGCTATTCATTACTTGCCAACAAGTCAACTTGAACTTATACTTTGTGAAAGAGAGACCTGTATGAGCCTCAATCTTCAGCTGCCCAGATCAGGTTTTGCTAAATCAAAGCCATGGCTATATCGTCGAAGGTGATACAACAACCCAAAGCCTCTTCCTTCATTCCATAAATTCACCTGTGACGAAGTCTTCCTATTTTCCTTATCTGTTTAATCTTTCTTATGGTTATCTTTTCAGTGAGTAATGCCATTTGATGATTTGTCAAAAGTTCATAGTCTCTGTTCAGGCTTGATTTCTTCTAGGAGCCCCCTTTTAAAAACTTTTGGGCAGTTCATTCTATTGGCAAAACGCTGTGTAATACAGTTCAAATGAGTTGATTCTCTTCTCTGCATCTTCTCTGCATCTTTCTTCAATGTCCATCTTACACAACCGTACATAGGAATTAGATATACATCGGGGCCCCTGGTGGTGCAGTGGGTTAAACCGCTGAGCTGCTGAACTTGCTGACCAAAAGGTTGGTGGTTTGAAATGGGGGAGCAAAGGGAGCTCTTGCTGTTAGCCCCAGCTTCTGCCAAACTAGCAGTTCGAAAAGATGCAAATGTGAGTAGATTAATAGTTATTGCCTTGGCAAGAAGGTAATGACGCTCCATGCAGTCATGCTGGCTACATGACCTTGGAGGTGTCTACAGACAATGCCAGCTCTTTGGCTTAAAAATGGAGATGATCACCACCCCCTTGAGTTCGACACGACTAGACTTAATGTCAGGGGAAACCTTTACCTTAGGATACATCACTACACATGGGAAAATTATCTAGTTCCTTTCATATTTGATTGTATTTCATACTAATGTCACTACTAACCTTAGTGAGATTCCACTTGGAAATGTGATGGAATAATCTATGGAAATGTTTGGCTCAGAGGTCTGTGTGCCCTCGAGGATTCTCCTCTTTGCTTTCACTCAGCCGCTTGCTTATATATGCACACATTCTGTGGTTGCTCAGAGTGTGGACGGCTGATTGGGATGGCTGCGTGTACATACAAATATGTGACAGAAACAGATTTAGGGTGAACAGTGTAGACTGCCAGTGAAGATCAGAGAGAAATTTGTCCTCTCCTGCGGTTTATAAGTGCAGTCTTGTGTGCAAGAGACATGGAGAAAGCACACCAAAATGAATTACTTTGCAGTGATGACAGGAAAACAGCTGGCCTCTCTGCCTCCGGGCTTGGCTCGGCCAGATCGGCATAATGGAGCCCAGCCTTCAGCTCATCTTTTATTTTTGCAAACAAATTTAATGTTACATTAATATGAGCTCTGCTGTGTTAACTGAGACTCTTATTCAGGTCACAGTTCAGTTTCTTAAAATGTTGTAGAATTCTGCTTTTTGTTCCCGGCCTATTCAGCTGGCATCTTCATACAAACCAGGCCTTATCCTGAGATACAGCAACAGTTTAGGACCTGCTTACCTTTTTGTCCCAAAGAATACCATATTTCATCAGTTGTTTGTCTTGAGACTGAAGAGCAAAAGCAAAAACAGTCTTCCTCAGCCATTTCTATCCCACCTAAGGCCACAAATTATCCCATCCCTCATTTTTTAGTGTTGCTGAGCCTGATGGAAATTTATGCCCTAAACATCTGGAGGATATGGCATTGGCAAAAGCTACAGTTCTTTCACCTGCTTTGAAATGTAACCTTTGAAGCCCTGCACAACTCAATGAAAGAACCTACATGAATCTTAGTGTTGTCAATTGTCAGGAAAGGAGATTCCACCTGAACATTAGGAAGCACTTACTAAACCGAGAGCTGTTCAGCAGTGGAACTCTCTGCCCTGGAGTGGGGTGGAGGCTATTTTTTAATAATAATAATAATATTTATTTATTTATTTATTTACTTTGCTTGTATACCGCAGTTTCTCAGCCCATAGGCGACTCAACGTGGTTCACATCAAGAGCAAAAAGTCAATCCAACAACATACACAATTTAAAAACCATTAACAACAACAACAACACAATAATAATAATAATACTAATAATAATAATAATAATAATAATAATAACTTTATACCCCACCACCATCTCCCCAAGGGGACTCGTGACGGCTAACATGAGGCCAAGCCCAACAATTACAACGAAGCAAAATAAAATGGGGGATTTTGAACAGAGGCTGGATGGCCATCTGTCAGGGGTGCTTTGAATGTGATTTTCCTGCTTCATGGCAGGGGGTTGGACTGGATGGTCCATGACATCTCTTCCAACTCTATGATTCTATGAATTGCCAAGTCAGTTTCCACTTATGGAGACCCTGTCTATGGGAGATCTCAAAGTTTCCTACTCAGATCTTGTAAACGCAGGTCTGTGACCAACTAATGCAATCTTAGACCCCTTCTACACCATCATATAATCCAGATCAAAGCGAGTAATCAAAGCAGAAGGCAGTACTCTTTTCCTACTGCCTTCTACCTTAGCAAGCACTATTATTCTGCCCAACATTGTTTTGGTTTAGCCACCTTGGCTTTTAGAGTTTAGGCTTTATTTCCTCTTGGACTCATTTATTTGTCTTTTTGACAGTTCTCGTATCTGCAGAGTTCTCATATAGCATCCCATTTCAGATTGACTGATTTTCTTTGTATCAGCTTCCTTCACAAAGATTAGACATACAGTAGTATGGACAATCCTGACATGAATCTACTCAGGTACTAAAATCCTCATCTGCTTGGCACTGTGGCATTGCACACCAGTAGCTTGAAAGTTTATCTCAGTTTAGATTGTATGTGTGCACCTGGTAACCTAATTCATAATTTTTCCGAATACTACATTTTTAAGGCTTGCTCTTTAGTTATTGTTTTCATTTCTATTGAAACTAATTGCTTTGTTTATATTTACTAGATGGTCATGGAACAAGGGGATTGGCTGGTAGGTGGTGATCTACAAGTTCTTGATCGTATTTACTGGAATGATGGCCTTGATCAATACCGACTCACACCTGCTGAACTGAAACAGAAGTTCAAAGATATGAATGCAGGTGAGTTCTGGAATGAAGAAGGGTGGTATGAAAGAGAGCAGAACCTCTCCCACTGTCCTGGAGCTCATTGTCATTGGCTTTTTCACTGAAGAACAGAAGATTCCTAGAGGAACATAATTTTTCTTTTGAGAGAAATAAACTTTCTTAAGAGTTTCTTTGGAATCGATTCATTTGATTTATCAAACCAGCAAATAGTTTTGTGTCACCTTTAAAACAGATTTATATTAGCCTGAGCATTTGTGAATTATAGTTCGCTTCCTTAGATACATGGAGAAGCATGTTATTTATGCACATTATGTATGGCAGGAGATGAGATAAGGACAGAATTAGAATATAATAGCTTTATTGTCATTGCACTATAGAATAGAATAGAATAGTTTTATTGTCATTGTGCTATTGAACAATAGAATTAAATGCCTTCCCCAGCACATATCACAAAAACAACACGACATTCCTCCTCACCACAACCGCACAGCCCCCAATGCCACATCAGTGTGAAACCATGGAGTTCAACATAGCCACAGCTCTAGGATAAAAGCTATCTCTCAGTCTATTTGTCCTTGTCTTTGTCACCCTGTACCATGTGCCAGATTGCACACACACACAGAGATGAGATGGATCCTCAAGAATGCTCTGAGCTTTTTTATGGCTACGGGACCTTTAAAGTTCTTCCAAAGATGGGAGAGAGCAACAATTGCCGCTGTGGCGCTATAAACCCTTGTGCCAGCTGAACTGCTGACCTGAAAGTTGATGGTTCGAATCCATGAGACGAGGTGAGCTCTCATCTGTTAGCTACAGCTTCCCTTGTGGGGACATGAGAGAAGCCCCCCACAGAATGGTAACACATGCTGGCATCCCCTGGGCGATGTCTCTGCAGACGGCCAATTCTCTCACACCAGAAGCAACATGCAGTTTCTCAAGTCACTGCTGACACAATTAAAAAATATGAAAACATAGACTTTTTCTCCCTTTGTGAACTGTCCTGAATTTTCTTTAAAAAACAAAAGTCCCAAAGTTGTTGCAAGGCAGCAAAACACATAAGCCTCGTAGAGGATTTCTAGTGAAAGATGTTTCCGCTTCTTTGAAAAATTGCTTTGGAAATAGTGTTGTTAGCTTTTCAGCAGAACAGAGAAGCCCAAAGCATTTTGGTTTATTTCCATTTTATTGTTTTGTGTTAGAAGAATAAGTGACAGACCAAGGCAATACAAATCTGGCAGTTTATTTGTTTGATCTGTGCTGTCCTTTGTGGAGGAGGAAAAGCATTCTTCTGCTTTACACTCTAAGGTGTTTGCATGTGTGTGGTGTAGGGAGATGCCAAAGGTATGTGGGGATGTTTTCGAAGAATAGGCTAAGCAGGATGCAGTCTTAAACAAGTTGCAGTTTTTGCCAGTGAAGTAGTCAGCCCAGTTCTGAGTGCAGACAAAACTTAAGTACTGTATACTTGAATAAAAAAAATGAATTACTGTACATAAGCCTAGTTTTTCAGAACTTTTTTTAAAGTGAAAAAGTTCCCCTCGGCTTATATTCAAGTCAAGGTTATTTATTATTTTACTCTATTATAAATATATAATAAATTTATTATTATTATTATTACATTTATTATTTTACTTTATTGTTATTATTACATTACCATTCTTTTACTCTATTGCTACTGTTATTATTACATTCTCATTCTTTTACTATAATATTATTATTATTTCTATCACATTTATTATTTTACTCTATTTTTATTGGGAGATATGCAAACACATTTACATTGAAGAGGTTCAGAGTTGGGCAGTCTTATCTTAAATTACAGTTTTATATAAATATTCAAAAACATTTAACCTACTGATGCCTCAAATAATGTAATTGTATTTTTTATTTTGAAATTTACCAATAGCTTCTACATTTCCCACCCTTGGCTTATACTTGAGTCAATTCGTTTTCCCAGTTTTTTTGTGGTAAAATTAGGTGCCTTGGCTTATATTCGGGTCGGCTTATACTCAAGTATATATGATAGTTTAGTTTCCTGTAACAGGATGAAAACAAATGGGGGAAGCAAATTAGACTGGTAGAGTACGTTTTGTTCAAATTCTCTGAAACTAAATATGAGTTACACAATACTTTCCTTTGTGCATACATGGATTTCTCTTCTGGATTCGATCCTTACAATGCCCTTGTGAGTGTTGGATGATGAAGCTGAGAGGCAAGGTCTGACTCAAGAAATTAAGTGTCATGTAGTGACTGTAACTGGGCTGTTCGCCATTGGTTCCATAAGAAGGAATACTTTTAATGCATCCTGACCATTCTCTCTTCTTTCTTAGATGCTGTCTTTGCATTCCAGTTGCGCAATCCTGTTCACAACGGACATGCCCTGTTGATGCAAGACACGCACAAGCAGCTTTTGGGCCGTGGCTACAGGCGTCCAGTTCTTCTTTTGCACCCTCTGGGTGGTTGGACAAAGGACGATGATGTTCCTCTGATGTGGAGAATGAAGCAACATGCGGCAGTGCTGGAGGAGGGAATATTGAATCCAGAAACAACTGTGGTGGCCATATTTCCCTCTCCTATGATGTATGCCGGACCAACGGAGGTAGGGCACATTTTCTTGTAATGCAGCTTGCTAATTTGTGTTTGCCTCAACCGAAGTTCATTTAAAATTGTAGAAGTTCACTTATTGCTATCATTTTCAACAACTATACTATTTCTAAGTGAGTTCATGGGTATCCAAGTCTCTTTTGTGATGGATTTTTCCTGGTGTTTGGTTTAGAGGCCTTAAAAGAGGAGTCGTCATGTTCTGCCGAACTTCAGAAGATCATTGTTTACAGTTTCAAGAGACTTGTTACTTCGTCTCTTCCCTTCCCGTTGTGTTGTGAGTGCTTTTAACATATTGAACTGTGGCCCAAGATGAAGAACTGGGATCTTTCCCCCTCTCTTTCTTTCTTCCTGTTCCCCCCCCCCCTTATGATCTACATGGAGTTGAGAGAAGCATGAGCAAACAACTGGAAAGAAAACATGCTTTTGGCAGGCCCCTTCGCTGAACAAATGGCATCAAAGCATCACATGCAGTGCTCTAAAATGGCTCTTGTTCAATATTTGATTTAGAACTTTTGCGCTGCTTCGTGATGGGATTTAGCTTTTATCCCACACAGCCATTCTCTATTTCCCCCTCCCTTCTTCTCTATGCTTATGCATATTCATTTGTTTCTGTGAACTTTTGAGGTCATTTCTACTCCCAGTCTTCCTTTTGTTTGTTCGCTTAAGTCCAGTTGCCTTCAAGCTTTTTATTTTTGTGGGCAGAGAATGGTCTGCATCCACAGATTCAACTATACATGGCCTGAAAATGTTCCAAGGTGGAGTCCCCTCTTTTGCTTGCGTCTTACTGAGCCTTCCCTCACCCTAATGGAGGGTTATGTGTGAAGTGAGGAAACCTTAGGGATTGGGGAAAAGATTGGGTATGTATGTGGAGCTCTCCCTATGGGTACCCCTGCCTCCCCTTCACTTGCCTCCCCCTCATTTGCCCCATTGAACTGCAGCTGGAGAATAAATTACAGATGTGAGGCCGCCTGTAAAGGAGGAAGCTGGTGTCACTATTCCATGGGTCAGGAGTGGGATATAAGTCAAGGGAGAAGAAGTAACCTCTTCCCTTCTCTTCGCTGTCTTCCTCCCCTCTCTGCAGGACTTGGCAGCCAAGAGAGTGCTGCCAACGTGCTACGAAAGGGGATGGCTATGTTGTGTGCCGATTTGCTAGACTTGACTATTAATGTCCTTTTGAAAAACATCTTGTATCTGTCCGACCCCATCCTACAAGCAGTAGTACACTCATGGGCTGCCACTTTGTGGCTACCCTTGCTGCTTGTTTGCTTTCAGTTAGTGCAGTGTTTCTCAACCTTCCAAATGCCCTGACCCCTTAACAGAGTTCCTCATATTGTGGTGACCCCCCAACCATAAAATTATTTTCATTGCTACTTCATAACTAATTTTGCTACTGTTATGAATCATAATGTAAGTATCTGATATGCAGGATGTATTTTCATTCACTGGACCAAATTTGGTACAAATACCCAATATGCCCAAATTTGAATACTGGTGGGGTTGGGGGGGATTGATTTTGTCATTTGGGACTTGTAGTTGCTGGGATTTATAGTTCATCTGCAGTCAAAGAGCATTCTGAACTCCACTAACGATGGAATTGAACCAAGCTTGGCACACAGAACTTCCATGACGAATAGAAAATACTGGAAGGCTTTGGTAGGCATTGACCTTGAGTTTTGGAGTTGTAGTTCACCTACATCCAGAGAGCACTGTGGACTCAAACAATGATGGATCTGGACCAAACTTGGCACAAATACTCAGTATGCCTAAATGTAAACACTGGTGGAATTTGGGGAAAATAGACCTCGACATTTGGGAGTTGTAGTTGCTGGGATTTATAGTTCACCTACAATCAAAGAGCATTCTGAACTCCACTAAGGATAGAATTGGGCCAAACTTCCCACACAGAACCCCCATTACCAACAGAAAATTCTGTGTTTCCTGGTGGTCTTTGGCAACCCCTCTAAGACCCCCCCCCAAGGGCTTCCTGACCCCCAGGTTGAGAAATGCTACGTTAGTGTGAGAAAGAGGCAGAGGATGAGGTGGAGTAACCTGTTCTCCTCTCTTTCTTGTTTGCCCTCCCCACAAGCACTTACTTCACCTCCCCCAGAGGAATAGCTCCTCACAGTTGAGAACCAATAAATTAAAAAAAGTACTGAAAGCCTTGTAAGGCTCTTGTGAATGTATGTGTGCCATAGTCATTTTTCCTAAAACACAGTTCAAAGAGTTCTGTACATTGTTATGTTCCACACAGTTGGTATTAAGTGTCTTCCCTTGGCAGATTAGGTATGGAAATCTAAGTGTCCACTCTGCAAGGAGAATATTATTTATAGCTGAAGCACATTAGCTGAACAGGAGGTGGAAAATAGTAGAGTTGTCTGTGGTTAGACGCAACTGGAATAATACTTTTAGTGGAGGGTAAGAATATTGTAACTCCAGATGATTTTCAGCTTTTACTTTGAAAAATCTATCTTAAATGACTACTAAGAAAATTTCCAAAAGTTCAAGAGTAAATACTTCCATATATATGTGAGGTGATTCCAAACCTGTTCTTTCCTCAGTAGTGATCACAGTGTAAGGGAAAAATCAGGGCCCTCCTTGCGGGCTGTGTACTTATGTCCCTTGGGTGCAGGTCCATGTGATGGGAATTCATGAAGTGACAACTGATGAATAATGCTTAGAAGAGATGTGGGGGACATGCATCCTTCGAGAAGTTTCTGGACTGCAGTGTGCAGCATTCTTCTCCATTGACTCGCTCTGCTGAGAGTTACTGTCCAGCAACATCTGGAAGCATGCATGATCTCCACCCCTGACCTAGGACAGTGTTTAATTCAGTCTTTGTTTCACATCCTTTGAATCATAGTCTATTATTAAGGGGCATTATATTTAATGCATGCATTTGTAGCAGTTCAAGATTTATGGTGGAATGTACACTGATTAGATTCCATTGATTTTGGTAGAAACAACTAGTCATGGACGAGACTGCCATTTGGCTATTTGGCATATTTCTTATAATATCTGGAAGTCATAGATATTTATATTAAAGCCATATCTGAGTATTTCTTAAGAAAACCCTATGCAATTCGTGGGGATCCCATAAGCCGATGGGCATCTTGAAGACACATGCACACATGTACTTTTCATTATGGTGTTGGGATTCATATTTAGAGAACAAGGAAACAAGAATTTCAACAAATCCCGTATCTGAAGTTTTCAGTCATGGATACAACTACAATAAGAAACATTCTTTAATTTAATCTGCATTTTCCAATGACCTCAGAAAACAACTTGCCAGCAGTGTATTTAAGACAACTAATAAAAGACGACTCTTCCTTTAATCATTTTCCGCAGGTCATTTAGAAGACATTGGTAACAGATTTGTTTCTGTAGTGTAAATGACTTGCAGAAGAACAGACAGCTGTTAAGCCAGTATGGCTATCAACTATCTTACTATGGTTTTCCAGGCGGTGAAGATTTAATGGGCATGGTCTCAATCTAAACATAGTTTTGGAAACTCTTTTAAAAATATTTTTATGGGGTGTTGTCAAATAACCAAGGAAATTGTGTTGTAACCTATTGGGTGTTACCTGTAGAGCAGTGAGGAACAGATGCTTTTGAGGGGTAGGGATAGAAGACTGGAAGAAGAAATCCTGATTGTGAAAAATACAGGGAAGATGAGTTTGTAAGCACTTATGCCGAACTCATCTCTTTTATTTTCAAGCTGTTAGAAACAATACTTTATCACATGTGTTTTAACTTTTAATAACTACAAGATGAATTGCTCTCTTGCTTGTTTTGAGTTATAGCACGCTGAAACATATTATCATCTAAAAGTATTCTGTATACCCAGAGTGGATTGGTATAGTTGTGTATCCTTTTACAGGCATTCCTGTTGTATCCCAGAGCAGGAACACCTCTGTCCTTAGACACCACACCAGTATAGTAAAATCAGCAAGCAGTTTATTGAAGGATATATGAAAGCAAAGCAATAAAACTGACAGAAACAGTATAGCAAACAGGCTGACTTTCGGTGATCTTGAGAACTTTGTCTTAATTTACAAAAATCTTGTCTTCTATCTTCAATCTCATTAAATTCTGCACCTGACAAATCATCCTCAGAATGCAGTTTCTCAGAGAAAGACTGCTCTGGGTCTCTTTCCGGAATTTGACTGTGGGAATCTACAGGAGAAGCACTCTTTTCATGGGAAACTTTGGGCCTCTCAAAAAGGCTTGGACATGACTCAGGCCCAGGAAAACCCTCGCCCCCATTGACATCAGGCACAATCACAGACTGAACTACAAGAATTTACCAAGTTTTTGTCAGTTCACTATTTGATGGTCCACTCTTTCAAGGCTTTTAAATTCTTGACACCCGGTCCTCGCTTTCGACAAGTATAAGTAGCAATACTTCAGTGACCGCAAGAGAGAAGTGCTGAGTGCTTCTACTTCTCAAATGCCATGTCTATCAGCTGTTGTCACAGGGGAGCCTCCTGAGAGAGAGAAGACCCACTCAAACAGGAACACCGTGTTAGTTAAGCTTTCACTCATACACCAGCTTCAAGTTCGCTCCCAGATGAACCTTGCTTCTGTGGAGTTTCTGCTCTCCAAAATGGATGCAGGAGCACTGTTCCTTTTTGCATTTGCCAATCTACACTTCTCCATGATATTTTTCTCCACTCTTCCTAGCCACTCCAAACTTGAACTACTGTCTAGGACTCGGTCCTCCTGGTTTCGTTAGATGATTCATGTCAGTCTTAGGGCATAGCAGTACACAGACTGAATGAAAAGATAATACTTTGCACTATATTTAGTCACCACATGCGTGCTGCTTTTTCCTCTGAATTGAGTTGCCCAAGGGCTGAGAAAAGTGGTATATAAATGAAGTAAATGAATTAATAAATAAATTCAGTGCCCTAATTTCAGTAAGTCTGAGTACAGCATGGTGTGGAATTTGTTTGTGGTATTGCTGTGTGCTTATACTGCAATATAGCATAGCAA